TTTTTTTTTTAAGATTTTATTTATTTGACAGAGAGAGACACAGCGAGAGAGGGAACACAAGCAGGGGAGTGGGAGAGGGAGAAGCAGGCTTCCTGTGGAGCAGGGAACCCGATGCGGGGCTCAATCCCAGGACCCTGGGATCAGGACCTGAGCCGAAGGCCAACGCTTAACAACCGACCCACCCAGGCGCCACCACTATGTATATTTTCAAATCTTCATTTTATCTATAAACCTAGGCTTTCTTTGAAGTTGTTTTATATTTTCCAAAAGACAGTATATCTCAGGATCTGTTCCATATTTATGATGAGGAAACAGAAGCCCAAAAGAAGAAAAACAGTTTAACCAAGGTCAGAGTCAACCAATGACAAAATTTGCACTGGAATCTAGATCTCTTGATTCCTGGCCCAGTGTCAAATTACAATATTGTAGAGGACAGGGGTCTTCCTCTCTTAGCATCCTTTCAAAGCACATGCCAGTGAAAAAATAAATCCCTTTCAGTTTAAACATGAAGCACTGCTATACCAAAATCCACTTCAAGGGATGATCCTGGCAACTAACCAGTCTATTTCTGACACCGCAAGAATCAGCAAATGAAACTGAGAAAAGCAAACATCACAGAGGCCATGAATCCATAAAGCTATATTCAATAATAAGGTGGTTAGACATTTTTCTGAAATGAGAAAATCATCATTAGTTTAATAAAAAACTAGGTCTGAGCTAAAGACAGCAATTTCATACGTTAAAAAAGCAAATAACCTTCACAATTCCAAACACATTTTCTGTCATGCTTGCTTTCAAGTATAAAAATAAAGCTGCTAAACAATCCTGAATAGAATGGGTAGCCGCAGATCATTTGAGTATCTATGAACTTCAGCCTCACCCATAAGAAAATAATTATCCTTATTCTTTTTATCTCATGGAGTCATAAGAAGGTGAGAAAGCTTTGAAATTTATACAAACATGAAGCTGACTTACTTATTTCAACAGTAAAAGTACATTCTAATTTGTCTATGCTAAACTAGTCACAGTCAGACCTTTATTGGGCTTAAAGTTGGAATTTGTATTCACACTATCCCAAGTTTTAAACACACTAAGCCAAACTGGCTTAGCCAACTAATAAAATAAATAATCCAGTTAACTTTTAAAAGATTTCTTAGGAAAAAGGAAAAATAATTCCATTACCTGATCCAGAACCTGATGTCGTCATATCATATATTAAATCTTTTAATGTAGTGCCCTCTGAAATAAAAGGGCGATCTAAGGAAGGATCCTCTTCATTTGGCACGCGATGGTGAATGACAGTACGGTTATGGCAGATATAAACCATCAACATGAGTGAGATGCAGACAAAGCAGACTGGTCCAGCAATGACAGCTGCCAGTTCGACGGGACCAAGGCCAGATGATGGCTTTCCTGAAAAAGAGCCTCAAATGAAATAAACATCAACAATAGCAAAAACACTGAAGGTGGCAACCACAATTTCCTAATCCTCCACATTTCCTATACTTGGCCACTACTCCCATTAGTCAGAGAACCTCATTCCAGAAGCTCATAAGGCTCAAATCCAGAACAAGTGAATCATCCAGTCTTCACCCACTGGCCCCCCTTTCATGATCACCAGCTCAGTCAACATCCACTTACTCTTCCTCTGCTCTTCAGCCTTCATCTAAGGAAGTAACTTTCCCATTCTTGAGATCTTTATTTGGATTTCTTATGATAGAATCCTAATTCTAGGAATTTCTTTTAAGAAGAGTAAATGGGTCCTTACACACTGAATACTTAATTATCTAAAGATGGCTATTGCTTTTATATATGGAAAATCTTGGCTGATCTAAAGAATTTTGGGTAACAATTAATATACGATGTTCCACCGCCTTTTGGTATTTAAAAAAAGAAGAAAATCTGAACTTTTTCTCCCTTTTAGAGGTAAGCGGTGCTACCTTGGGCTGAATGCATAAACAATTTTCTTCTTTATTCTTGAAACTGACACTTTTTTATTATATGTATTTGGTTAAGTATTTTTTCATTAATTTCATTAATTTTGGTAGCACATTCTTTTCTGTCTGCTTGTATGTCATTTTCTGGAATTTCTGTAGTAAGCATACTGGATCACCTAGATTTATCCTCTACATCTCTTAATTTGCCCACTGTCTTTTCTCCCTGAATTGTAACACAATTTCTCAAGCTTGTCTTGCCTTAAGCTTGTCTCACACTAGGCTATAAAATATTAGTCTCCAGTCTGCTACTCACTTTCAATATTACATTTTTAAAAATAATTCATCAATTGAGCTTTTCATCTAAAAGTGATCTTTAACTGAAAATGGACTTTGGACTGTCTGAAAGTTCTTCCTTATCATGAGGTTAAGTCTTTTTCATAGGACGAATCTACTCTGATTTACCCAGTTCAGTTCACTTCTTTTGAACCACTGAATCTTTTCATTTGGTAATTTTTTGGCTGTTTGCTTAACAGAGACCTGGGAATGAGGGATTTATGTATGTTTAGCATTAGAAATGAAGTAAGTGCTTCACAAGGCTTTATAAGCCTTCATTTAGATATTTCAAGCCCAAACAATGGAAATGGGGAATTCCGGAATTATAATTTTCTTTGTCATATTAGAATTGCAGATACCCTAAAGAGAAGTCAGAAAAATTAGTCATTTGAAACTTGCCATGGGGAAGCTTCCCTATAATGCTGAAGATCTGGTTTTACTTTGCTATTATCACTTGAATGAAGAGGAGGACTCCTCCCTCTGTAGCCTGCAGGACCGGCCCTTTTCTGCTTGGCCACAGCAGTGCTTCCTACTTCAGTTAGCATGATGCCTGGATCAACTGTGAGTGGACAGTGAGCACTGTGGTCTGCCTCCCTGAGCAATGAAACCAGGTACTTCTTCCTAAAGGAGAATGACCGTTTGCTCCTGTAACCTTCTCACCCCAAACCCCTCAGGTTAAGGTTTGGTGGGATTTTGTAAGAGGTCCTTTCACTCCCTGCTTTTCATATGGGTAGTCAAACTTCACTAGTCTGAAGTTATCTGCACTACAAATTACAGAAGTTTCTCACAAGCACAGGCATGAGGGTGGTGTTCTTCCACCAATTCGGCTAGCATGAATATAGATTTCCCGCATTTTTATATTCCTTTGATTATGACAGTAGAAATTTGGGATTTGAGGAAGGTGATGGAGGAGGTAAATACTTGTGCTCAGACTAACATCTTAAACCAGAACCTGAAAATTAAACTAATCCTAAGAGTGTATAAAGCCTTCAAATTCCTGGCTCTGCCAGGACATTGTAAAATGTAAACTATGGCAAAGGACCAAAACCTAGAAATCACATATAATGATTTATAAAGATCATAAAGCAAGGTTACATTACAAAATGAAGGCATCTGGACTGTTTAGTGCTGCTCTCAATTCCTGCCCATTATCAACTGCTTTAAAAGGCTGGAGCATTATGTAAGGAAAAGAAATCCACTCTGAGGACAAAGTAGGGACCCCCTGAGGACATACTGCTATGGCAGCTTTGTCAGAATTCGCCTTTAAGAGGCTAGTCTTTAGGCCCTAACGGACCTCAGAGAAAGTCTATTATTGGAACCACGTTGTCAAACAACACACACCCAGAAGTCGGGATCTTGGCTACTCCTGTAACTCTACAACTATGGACAGGTTCCTTCTTGCCTTGGAACTGAATGAGCTGGGGTAGACGAAGTTCTAAGATCCCTTCCAGTTCTAAAACCATAGTCAGAATCAGCTTTTCTTGTAGTATTAAGAAAAAAAAATCTTATACAACAACTTACCAACAGTTGGGAGTTCTATTTTATTGCAATGGTCCTGGTTGCAGCAATAGGTTGTAGTAACAGACCCAGTTTTTGAAGATGGTGCACATACAAATGGTCTGTCTCGAGGAATTAGGTCAATTTCAGCTATACACATGCTATTGTGTATAACTTTGTCTGTGGTCTCTGTGACAGAGACAAAGCAGAGCCCATCTGTCACACAAGTAAAATTGTCTTTTGTACAAAGGTGGCAGAAACACTGTAATGCTGGAAAAAGAGAACAAGATTCTATTAGAAAAAATTCTCCAAGTTAACAATTTGAAATTATCCCATATTCACTAAAATAATACATTCCTGATCCTATTATAATCATACAATTTCTTTGCACTGTTCAAAAAACAAAACTCTTACTACTCTCAGAAGTTCTAAATTCGGGCGCCTGGGTGGCTCAGTTGGCTGAGCGACTGCCTTCAGCTCAGGTCATGATCCTGGAGTCCCGGGATCAAGTCCCACATCGGGCTCCCTGCTCAGCAGGGAGTCTGCTTCTCCCTCTGACCCTCTGCCCTCTCGTGTGCTTGCTCTCTCTCTCTCTCTCTCTCAAATAAATAAAATCTTAGAAAAAAAAAAAAGAAGTTCTAAATTCTGTTGAGAACCACACATACGTAGGAGTCAAATATGATAAAATCTGGACCCACGTTTTTTTCTAAAACTTTTTTGCTTCCAAGTATAGAAAAATTCTTACAAGTAATTTCATTAAGTTAAGGCAAGCACTTGCCCTCCTATTTGAAACACAGTACATTTAAATTTTTTATTGTTATTCTTAACAGCTCAAAGCTATGTATTCACATAGTCCCCCATTGGGAAGCAATGCGTAAAAATACTTCTACCTACTAATGGTAGGTTGGAAATGTCATTTGGGTGGATTTATGGCAACGGAGTAAAATGGAAATAGATTTGTATTAAGCCAGACACTCTTTCCTCTTATGCAAACCCTAAGAAAGACATATATCTTCTAGCTAGGATTAGTGTACTTGCTCAGTAAGCCAAGGAGACTGCACCAGTAATACGTAAATGCTCCAATCACACACCCAACCATAGACTGGAGAAACACTAGCTCCATGCCCACTTCTATCTTTTGGTCTTTCTGGCTCAACTCGAGAGGTGACTCCTTTAGGGAAGTCTTCCCCTAATTACCCCTTCCCATATACACAGACACACACACCCTCCACCATGCTGTCCAATGAGGTTAAATGCTGCCCAAAGCACACACTGCTTACCAGATTGCTAATTTTTTCTCTCCCCTATGAAACTATAAGCTCATTGAGGGCAGAGATCCACAGTAATCATTTCCATAAATCCATATTTAACACTAGGCCTAGTACATACCAGCATTCAAAAATGATTTTTGTTAAGTCAATGACAGAATGGATACTTACATTCCACTACAAACCCATGAAACTGCAAAACACAGATATGTCCTTAAGTCCAAACAAACTTGCCAATTGTTGGAAAGGAAAAAGTTACAGTCCAGGTATGTAGTATGTAGAATGGCTACTTACGATGAGGCCAAGGAGGTCCACAGAAACTGTGTATCTAGAAAAAGAATAGCTAGGCAGCCAACTCTGCACAGCTAAGTTGCTGTGCAGGAAGGGTTAACTCAGCAGGCTTGAGTTGCTCAAACCCTGCACACTCCCAAGAAAGGCCTGTCTTCAGGCCTGGCCCCTGGCCAATCCCTAGGAAATGAGCTCTGAGCCCTTAAGATACTCTCCCTGGTAAGAATGCTACAAGCCTGTGTGACTGAGCCCCAGTAAAAACCCTGGACACCAAGGCTCTGCTGAGCTTCCCAGGCTGGCAACACTGTGCATGTGCTGTCACACCACTGCTGAGCTATGGCATGCACCTGTGCTCCTGCGCTAGCCGAGGACACCTGGAAGCTGGCACCTGGTTTCTCCTGGGATTTGCCCCAGGCGCCTTTTCCTTTGGTGATTTAATATGTATCTTTCCCACTGTAATAAACAATAACCATGAGTACAACAGCTTTTCTGAGTCCTGTGAGTCCTTCTAGCAAATCACTCAGCCTGAGGATGGTCTTGGGGACCTCGACTCACTTGCTAAACCCAAACCTGCAATGTCAGGATCCCCTCAAGCAAGTGCTTTTTGGTTGCTGGCTTAATTAATATACTTGTTTATTACCTTTCCAGACCAGCAAATTTTACCTTAATCATTATAAAAATTCTTTCTTCTGAGATGGTTCAACTATTTGAATTAACTCCTCCCAAACATAAGAAGAACTCAAAAAGAGTATTTAAAGAGACACAATCATAGTCTAACATTTAAAAATTATTTTTTTTAATTTTTAAAAATTTATTTAAATTCAATTTAGCTAACATATAGTGTATTAGTTTCAGAGGTAGAATTTAGTGATTCATCAGTTGCATATAACACCCAGCGCTCATTACACCAAGTGTCCTCCTTAATGCCTATCATTCAATTACCCAGTTCCCCCACCCACCTTCCCTCCAGCAACCCTCAGTTTTTTTCCATAGAGTTAAGAGTCTCTTGTGGTTTGCCTCCCCGTTTTCATCTTATTTTATTTTTCGTTCCCTTCCCCTATGTTCATCTGTTTTGTTTGTTAAATTCCACATGAGTGAAATCATATTAACATTTAAAGATTATTAAAAGAGATGGTGGTTATTCATGGTGAGGTATAGGGGTGATTATAGGTTCAATTTCCTAAGGAGGAATTCTGAATAAGAAACCCATGCGCTGGTTTCAGGGATACATGAATGCCATGAAACTGTCAAATGTATGTATTTCCATTTTGGAGGTTCACAGCTTTCAAGAGAATCACAAAGGGGTCTACCACCCACAAATTAAAACCACCACCATAGGAGATTATCATCATTCTCTCCTGAATCCCCTTTACTCATGGTCAGTCATTCAACCAATATTTTCTAACCATTAGCTCTATCAGTTACTGTACCAAAAGCTTAGTGTACAAAGATTGATAATTCATGGTCACAGCCCTTGAAGAGCTCCAAGGCCTACAGAAGGAGAATACCATAATCCAATGTGGTAATTGCTATATTTAAAAAAATACTGCCATGAGTACTCTCTCAGTTCTAAGACCTTCATCTTCTCCCTGAGCATATATGAAATGAGACCTATATATGAAATGAGACCTAAACACTTGGTCTAACAATTAAGACTTTTACTTTTGGGGTTCAACTTACCACTCACATTACAAATGCATCTAGGGCCCACATGCTCCTCACCATTATAACAATCATGTCTTTCATGACCATGGTCTTTACACATACTATCTCTCTGCCTAGTTTAAACCACCTCTCATCCTTTAAGACCCTATTCAAACAAGATCTTTTCCATGATAAGCTCTAAACCCTCCCCTACTCTTAAGATAAGTTGGCAGGTCCTTATAATATGTTCCCATAGTCCTCTCTGTATACCTTTAAGATAGAACAAATCTATATATAGTTTGCTGTTAAAGTGTCTCTCATTACACTAACAAGGGCCAAGTTTTTTTTTAATTTATTTTCCCACCATTGAATCCTGGACTCTTAGTGATCACAAAAATATATGCTAAAACAGTGTTTCCCAAACAGGAGGTCACAAGTATGTTTGGAGAAGGGAAATCTAAGAACTGTGTACAAAATTTTGTTAATGTTTTCATTTAAAAGATAATCTAAAATGAATGATAAAAATGCTGAACCATAAGTAACCACAATCTAAACAAGTACTGTCAGTAGGCTTTCACTGACGCTTCTTCAGTTGTGTTAAAATCTCCTTCAGGCCAAATGTCCTGAGGGCACACTGTACAAGCAAAGCTCTCACAGTAACTGTAACCAACAGTGAAAAATACAGGCAACTAGAATCATCAGAGCATATGACAAGACAGGCATGGTATATCCAAAGCCAACAGTCTAACAGTTAATACCATATATATGATACAAGTATTACATGGATCCTATCTTTGTAGTACAATTGCAAAAGTTCATTGGAAGTAAATGTGATTGGAAGTATCCAAAGACGTGTTTCCGTTCTCACTTCCAGCATGAGCTAGTGTAGGGAACCATTTAATAAAAACTTCAGTAATGACAGAACGTTAACCTCATCTTCAAATGAACACCACAGCTGACATCTCATTAAATAGGTATTTGAGGGGGGCGCCTGGGTGGCTCAGTCGTTAGGCGTCTGCCTTCGGAAATTGGTATCTGAGGAATGCTTGCTGGCAAGTGTTTTGGTTAGATACGAGGTCTGACTACCCTGAACATGCAAACAAAGCTTGAAGTCATTAATAACACCTTGCACAACATTACTTATGGAGAATGGGTACTTGAAGCTTTTAGTATCACTGAAGTTAAAATACAGAAACAGATTTAAAATGGAATGAGACCTGGCGCCTGGGTGGCTCAGTTGGTTAAGCGACTGCCTTCGGCTCAGGTCATGATCCTGGAGTCCCGGGATCGAGTCCCGCATCGGGCTCCCTGCTCAGCAA